TCGGTCGTGGTGGGGATGGAGCTGGGGGTTGAGATGGGAATGGAGGTGGGGATCGTGGTGGGAGTGGAGCTGAGGGTTGTGGCACTGGTTGGGGTGGAGTTGTCGGTTGTGGTGGGGGTGGTGCTGGGGGTTGAGTTGGGAGTGGAGGTGGGGATCGTGGTGGGAGTGGAGCTGGGGGTTGAGGTGGGAGTGGAGTTGTCGGTCGTGGTGGGGATGGAGCTGGGGGTTGAGATGGGAATGGAGGTGGGGATCGTGGTGGGAGTGGAGCTGAGGGTTGTGGCACTGGTTGGGGTGGAGTTGTCGGTTGTGGTGGGGTGGTGCTGGGGGTTGAGTTGGGAGTGGAGGTGGGGATCGTGGTGGGAGTGGAGCTGGGGGTTGAGGTGGGAGTGGAGTTGTCGGTCGTGGTGGGGATGGAGCTGGGGGTTGAGATGGGAATGGAGGTGGGGATCGTGGTGGGAGTGGAGCTGAGGGTTGTGGCACTGGTTGGGGTGGAGTTGTCGGTTGTGGTGGGGTGGTGCTGGGGGTTGAGTTGGGAGTGGAGGTGGGGATCGTGGTGGGAGTGGAGCTGGGGGTTGAGGTGGGAGTGGAGTTGTCGCCCGTGGTGGGGCTGGAGATGGGGGTTGAGGTGGGGGTGGAGTTGTCGCTTGTGGTGGGGGTGGAGCTGGGGGCTGAGGTGGGGTGGAATTGTCAGTTGTGGTGGGGATGGAGCTGGGGGTTGATGTGGCAGAGGAGCTGGGGATTGTTGTGGGACTGAAACTGGGGGTGGATGTAGTAGAGGAGTTGGGGGTCATCGTGAAAGTGGAGTTGGGACTTGTGGTGGGAGTGGAGCTCAGGGTTGTGGCACTGATTGGGGTGGAGTTGTCGGTCGTGGTGGGGGTGTTGTTGGGGGTTGAGGTGGGGATGGAGCTGGGGGTTGAGGTGGGAGTGAAGTTTTCGGTCGTAGTGGTAGTGGAGTTGGAGGTTGAGATGGGAGTGGAGTTGTCGGTCGTGGTGGGAGTGGAACTGGAGGTTGAGATGGGAATGGAGGTGGGGATCGTGGTGGGAGTGGAGCTGAGGGTTGTGGCACTGGTTGGGGTGGAGTTGTTGGTTGTGGTGGGAGTGGTGCTGGGGGTTGAGGTGGGAGTGGAGGTGGGGATCGTGGTGGGAGTGGAGCTGAGGGTTGAGATAGGAGTGGAGTTGTCGGTCGTGGTGGGAGTGGAGCTAGAGGTTGAGATGGGAGTGGAGTTGTCGATCGTGGTTGGATTGGTGCTGGGGGTTGAGGAGGGAGTGGAGTTGTCGATCGTGGTGGGAGTAGAGCTGGGTGTTGAGGAGGTAGTGGACTTGTCAGTCGTGGTGGGAGTGGAACTGGAGGTTGAGATGGGAGTGGAGGTGGGGATCATGGTGGGAGTGGAGCTGAGGGTTGAGATAGGAGTGGAGTTGTCGGTCGTGGTGGGGGTTTTGCTGGGGGTTGAGGAGGCAGTGGAGTTGTCGGTCGTGGTGGGAATGGAGCTGTGGGTTGAGGTGGGAGTGGAGTTGTCAGTCGTAGTGGGAGTGGAGCTGGAGGTTGAGATGGGAGTAGAGTTGTCGGTTGTGGAGCGGATGGAGCTGGGGGTTGAGGTGGGAGTTGAATTGTCGGTTGTGGTGGTGGAGCTGAGGGTCATTGTGAGAGTGGAGCTAGGACTTGTGGTGGGAGTGGAGCTGAGGGTTGTGACACTGGTTGGAGTGGAGTTGTTGGTTGTGGTGGGGGTGGTGCTGGGGGTTGAGGTGGGAGTGGAGTTGGTTGTGGTGGGGATGGAGTTGGGGGTTGAGGTGGGAGTGGAGTTGTCAGTCGTGGCGGGTGTGGAGCTGGGGGTTGTGGTGGGAGTGG